CTCCCCATCCCCATGGCCCCTACCTGGCTGTACATTCCTCTTTGCTGGGGAGAGCCCCACGAACCCAACCTCCCCCTGCCCCTCAGGCTACCTGTACATCGCCATTGAGTATGCTCCCTACGGAAACCTCCTCGACTTCCTCCGCAAAAGCCGAGTCCTGGAGACAGACCCAGCTTTTGCCAAGGAGCACGGCACCGCCTCCACCCTCACCTCCCAGCAGCTCCTCCAGTTTGCATCGGACGTGGCCAAGGGCATGCAGTACCTGAGTGAGAAGCAGGTACCTCCCCAGCAAGCCCCCTCAGAGCATCCTTTCCCCAGGGGTCTGGGCACTCCCCATCAGGGCACAAGACCCCTGGGGCCAGCAGGAGGGACTGTGTGGCTCCTGCTGACTGCTGGCCCCTTTCAGTTCATTCACAGGGACCTGGCAGCCAGGAATATCCTGGTGGGAGAAAACCTAGCCTCCAAGATTGCTGACTTTGGCCTCTCCAGAGGGGAGGAGGTCTACGTGAAGAAGACGATGGTGAGGCAGGAGTGAGATGTTTCCATAGGGCCCACACTGATGCAGTGGGCAGGACCCCCCAGCAGTGGGAATGCCCCACCATGCCAGGACCAGCTGGGTCACAGCTGCCCTACATCTGTGGGGTGTCCCCCTGCCCCTGACACTTGCTCTGTTCCCCCAGGGCCGCTTGCCAGTTCGCTGGATGGCCATTGAGTCCCTGAACTACAGTGTGTACACCACCAAGAGCGATGTGTAAGTCCTGCAGGCACAGGCACCTGGGCTAGAGTATGGCTGAGGCCACCTCCATCCCTCTCCAGGCCCCCTGTGCCCCCAGGGCAGTTGGTGCAGGGATGCTCCTGCTCCTGCAAGAGCAGGAGGCAATGCCAGTGCATCTCCGTGGGGAGCTGCCAGCTCAGCTGAGCTCTGGCTGCCCACTCCACCCTGGGCTTCACCCTGTGCCCATCCACTGGGCACAGCTGGGGGCCCTGTCACAGCCTTGGCTCCTGCACTTTCAGGTGGTCATTCGGCGTCCTGCTCTGGGAAATCGTCAGCTTGGGTAAGTCTCTTCTGTGTCCCCTGCCTCCATGCAGGTCCCTGCAGTTCTGGTCCTCCTGCAGCTCTGGGGGGGACACCAGGGGACCATCCCTGCCACAGCCAGCTGTGTGTCTCTGGCCGCAGGGGGAACACCATACTGCGGGATGACGTGCGCCGAGCTTTACGAGAAGCTGCCCCAGGGCTACCGAATGGAGAAGCCACGCAACTGCGATGATGAGGTGTAAGTAGGCAGAGAGCCCTGGCTGATGGTGGCACCTGCATCCCCCTGACCCTGCTTCAGTTTCCTGCTGCCTGCTTCCCCCTATCTCCCACAAACAGCTTTTCTGCCTCCTCTCTCTCCGTGCACACTGACCCACCACCGGCTGTCTGCCCCCAGGTACGAGCTGATGCGGCAGTGCTGGCGCGACCGCCCCTACGAGCGCCCACCCTTTGCCCAGATCTCCATGCAGCTCATCCGCATGCTGGAGGCCAGGAAGGTGAGTGGCGGCGGTGGCAGGGCTGGGTGCAGGGTGCCCACATTGCCCCAGCTTGGTGGGAGGGATGCCCGCCCTACGCAGGGCTTGTCTGAATGCTGGAGCATCCCTTGGCTTGGGGAGGACATCCAGCACATGTGGGGGTAACCCTAACATCATTTTTTGGGTGTGGGGAGCCCCATCACCTCCCCCATAGGCACAGCACCCACAAGTGTGCCAGTAGGGACAGGAGGTAGATGGGGACGTGTCACAACTGGCTCCTGACTGGGGTTCCCCTGCAGGCCTACGTGAACATGGCCTTGTTCGAGAACTTCACCTATGCGGGGATCGATGCCACCGCCGAGGAGGCATGAGGCTGCGCTGGCACCGTGCAGAAGGGCAGCACTGGCCCCCAGCCTGCTGGGACAGCGCTGTGGGAATGAGGGGCTGCCTGTCCCCACCCCGGGGCTGAGTGGCCAAATGCCAGTGCCCCTTTCCGAGAGTGCCTTCCCTGCAGCAGGACTGTGCTGTCCCCTCCCTGGCTACCCTAGCACACCACCAGCCACCAACACGGCCCCACACTGCTGGGGGATGTGCCAGGATGGCCCCAAGGACAAGTGCCAGCAGGGTGCTTGCAGCAGAGCTGGCAGGAGAGCAGCTCTCCCAGGAGAGGCCACAGACACAAAATGCTCAAGTTTTGGGGCAAGAGAGGAAGCAGCAACCCAGCAGCTGCCTGCCCTGCAGCTCTTGGAGTTCTCCGGGCCTGGAGTGGTGCCAGTGGGGCTGTGAGCATCGCTGCCAGTGTGGGACAGGGCCCCCTCAGCGGGTGCAAAGAGACAAAGGACAGCACTGGGCCTCCAGCCCTGTGGTAACCCTTCGGAGGTGCGAGCTCTGCCTTATGGACAATAAACAGTGCAACCGCAGCCGGATCCAGAGGAGGGGAGGTGGAGTCCCAGCTCTGCCCCCCTGGTGGCACCAGGGAACAGGACGTGGGGCCCTGATGGACGCTTCTCAGGATGTTGTCCCATTGAGGGTCCTCCGATGATCCGCAGGGATGCCCCAGCGCACCCAGACAAGCCCCAGGTCTCATCATGCTGTGGGGATGGACTTTAGTATCCAACTGGAATCTCCTCCCCTGCAATTTAAGACTTTGTCCTGTCCCCCAGGAATATGGAGCACAGACTATGTCCTTCCCCTGCGCAGCCACCCCTCACATGCTTGAGAACTGTTCCTTCAGCTTCCCCTCAGTCAGCTGCTCTTCATGGGGACAGTCCCGCTCCTCTGGCCAGTCCCTGCAGGGCTGTGCAGCTCCACATCCTTCCCTCCCCAGCCAGCCAGTGCCTGCCCGGTGCTGTGCCGAGCCATAGGGTAACTTCCAACGTCTTGCAAAGGGACTGTAGTGTTCAACCAGCTTGCTCAAACATATGCCACTGGGGTGATTCTCATGTGTGGGTCCCTCAAGGACTGCCTGGGCTCTGCGCTGACCCTCCCATGAGAGCTCCTGCCCCAGGCTGCGGTGCCTCATCCTGCACTGCTGCCGTTTGGTATACTGACAGTGGGGAGGCTTCACCTCTGTTGCCTTCAGCTTGCTGAGCCCTGGGCATGCCACCCAGCTGCCCCTCTAGCCATCTTCTGCGGGAAGCAAGGGCTGCTCCTCCAGAGGCGGGGGCATTTGCATTTGCCCTTCCGGGCAAGACTCTGTTTTCCCCAGAAAGTGTTTTAACTCTGTCAAGACCATTGTGATTTCCCATTCTGGCCTCCTGTGCTCCTTGGTGTCAACTGCAGCCATTAGTAAGCAGCCCCTCTGTCCCATCACTGAGGTCCCCAGTAAAACAATGATGGGGACTGGCCCTCGCAGGCAGCCTGACACGTGCCACTGCCTCTGCACCTGCTCCGCTGTTGGCCAGGAACAGCGTCTGAGGCAGCACCATCAGCCCCACTCAAACCAAGGGCTTTCTGCTTTCTGCCTCCCTGACGGCAAAGCCCAGTAGCCGTATGGAGAAGGAAGTGGGACTGGTTTGACAAAATTTGACTGTGACAAATTGGTGCTGGCTATTCCCGTCTCCCCTCAGTGCCCCCAGTGCTGTCCCCATTGCACGGCAGAGAGAAGCCAGCTCACCCTTGGCACGGTGGGGACGCATGTGTGAGTGGCTGCTCACACCCTGGCTGCTGCTCCCCGGGCTGTGCTGCGGTGCTGTGTCCCAGCAGGATGGGAGACCCCTCTGGCCGCCCACGCCCAGCGGCAGTGGTGCAGTGGCACGAGGTTGAGTGTGCGACCCCACCATGGTGGTCCAGCTCCTCCACCAGCAACACCAGCATC